GGCCTAGGGTAATTTTTAAGAGGGGTTTTAGAGGGGTTTTTAATCATATTTTAATCAGACAATTTAAATATTTCATTTTAATTAATTTTAATTTTGTGATTGTTATCGGTGTTTTTAATTGATTGTCAGCCGCCCTGAGTCCGCAAGGAGAAGGGCGGGATATAAATTCGAATAATAAATAAATAAATAAATAAATAAACTAATGAACACGTTGACTGGGTATCCAAATTTATGGTCTCTTAGTTTAGATGGAAAACACATGTTTGCTCTACTCTGACTTCTGGTACTTGTTTACCCGGAATTAGGAGACAGCATAGGAAGTATCAATTGTGAATATGTGCAGGTGGCCCGGCTGTCTTTGGTCACTTGCAGATTCATGGATGCAGGGTCATGAAAGGACAGCAAGAAAAACACCCAATGTCCTAGCCCACCCGGGAGCATAAGATGTCTTTAGGGAAACACCCAAAAGGGAATATTTTTAGCTACTTCTACTTTCTCCCTTCTTATCTACAGTGTGCCAAACTTACTGGGTGAAATCTTTATCTTATGTGTGTCAGCTTTGCTGGGTGGATTGCTTATGTAATCAGAAAGAATAAATACAAGGATTTCTTGTCATTCGGGGCTTCTCTCTTTTAGAGGAGCCCATCTTTGTTCAGCTGAATAAAAACGTAAAGCTTAAAGGCAATGTCTGGTTTCCTGTATTTTTTTTATCAACCAAAACCTCAGAACCTGCACAACATTTTTGGTGAGCCAGGCAGGAGAGGTGCTTGGTCCTAGGGAGGTTCAGGAAAGGAAAAGGCACCAAGCAAGCTCTGGGATTTTCTGGAGGTGCCCCCCTTCTTGACTCTTCACTAGTTTTTAACCAGTTTTTTTCTTCTTTTTGGTTGCCTTTTACTTGGTTGCTGCATACTCAGGAGGGCTGAAGATAAGGTAAGATACAAAGACACACATTGCTTTATTGCACAGGCTTGCCTATGGGAGTGTGTCTGTGTATGTGTAAAAGTATGCTTGTTTCCTTGAATCATTTCCCACTGTTGACCAGAGCTGGGCGGGTTTGCCGTAGCTGCACCTAGACCCCCTGGTGGTGTTTAGAAAGCAAGGGGGGCTAACCTTGTACTCTCATGCTCCAATGGGTTGTTAGTGTTGAACTTGTGGTTCTCTGAGGTTTGTGGTTGTTCCTTATATATATTTCCCGCTGTTGACCAGGCCTAGGCGTGATACTGATCTTAGCCGAAGGTCAGTGATCTCTTGTGGCCCAACCGGCTGTGCAAGTGATGTGAGTGACTTAGACACATGGGCTCAGCCCCAGAAGACCTGTTAGAATGAATAAAAAGAAGGAATGTGCCCTCAGCCCCTTGAGTGTGTTGTAAGGAACTTTGGTAAGCTTAAAACCCATCGGAATATGAAATTGACACTCTAATTAAGTACAATGCCCTCTGTCACCAGGACATGCCCACTGGCCCACAGGGGGATCCATAGATTTGGGAGTTTTTGAAACCATGGGAGACTATGCTTAAAGAGGCATGGATCATGATCAGCAAGCTTAATATGCACTTTTTTGGACCTTACACAAGAATAAGCAGGTGCTTAAAGAGTGAGTTGTGGTAACCTTCCGCAGCACCACCTTTTCCTGCTTTAGCTTCTGCTCCACCACCCTATAAGGGGATCTACTCCCTGACAGGGCAGGTAGCCATTGGAAGGGGGGACACTAATAAGGTCCTGGTTCATACCCCTTTCTCCACATCTAACCTTTATGCATGGGAGGACCGATTGGGTTCTTACACTGAAACCCCATACAAATATTCTGAATTGATTCTGTCCATTATTTGAACTTATACCACTAATTGGGCAGACCTCCAAGCCATGCTGGATGTCTTTTTAGCAACAGAGGAAAGGCGTCTGGTAGGAAATGCTGCTAAAAAGAAAGGAAGGTCCTTTGTCCTGCAACTTAAAAGGTTTCTAAGACATTATTATTATTATTATTTTAAATAAAATGTTATTAATTTTTATAATTAAACAATAAGTAATATGATGCATTTGTATACACAAACAGAAAAAACAATACAAATCAATACATTATCGGAAACGCTCGGCAGTCCCCGCCTTGCCTCCGCCCTCATCGACTTTCCTTTCCTTCCTCCCTCTAGCCCACAACCTCTCCTCCTTCCTCCTTCCCATTTCTACATCCCCCTCTTCCTGACCACCTCCTCGAGTGCAATTTGGGATACCAGCCGAGCATCTCCTCTTATCAATACAATTATTATTTACCTATAGCATATGAATACATCAATATTTTAATACCCCTAATCCCCTTCCCCCCCCCCCGAGCTTCCCGGAACCAAATACAAGATTGAAACACATCATTCCAAATCTAAATTACAATTTAACTAAACAAATATAATGCTATCAGTATATACCTACTTTAACTCTAATAAGGCAATTAAATTAATTACAATTAATTAAAAACCAATATATCTACTCAAAAACTATATAACATTTAATCACTCCATACTTTCTCTAAATATAATCTATCCACCTTCAACATTTAAACTTTACATAATTTTTTCTTACATTTTACAGCTAAATTTTCCCTTCACTTTCTTCCCTCTCAGTCTATACTTTCAATAAAATCTTAAGTCAATACTTCCTGCTTACAGCTGGAAAAATAAAATAAAATCCCAATCTTAATTTTTTACATCTTTCAAAAAGAAAAAAAGAAAAAACTATCAGTTCTTTACAAACATATAATAAACTAATTTCTTCCATTTCCATAATAAAGTCTCACTTCCAGCGTTTATCCATCTTTTGGCTTACAAAGCTTGCTAAGCATTCCCTGCATGTCTGTCGCTGCAGATCTCTTTGGCCTCGCCCCTCCCACTGACTCCGAAGGCTGTGGATATGTTATAGAGACTGTTTCTTTTTGTTGCTCTCTCTCTTTACGCCTATAAGCAGCACGGGTCATCCTTTGCTCCTTCTGAGGATCTTCTACCAATAATGACATGGCCCCAGGCAATTCCACAACAAGTTGCTCCATCAGATCTTCCTGTGCTTTAGATGTCGATGATGGTGACATATCAGCTTTCAGGACCGACAAATAAAAATCTTTAGCTTTTTGAACAGAGTTTAATCTGTGTCTGGTCCCTGCGAAATTTAATATAATACCCAAAGGAATTTCCCATCTGAAAGGTATCTGCCGCTTCTTTAACTCCTGAGTCAAAAATGTAAAGTCCTTTCTTCTTCTTGAAATCTTAGAAGGTATTTCTTTTAAAAGTATAATATCTTGTGCGGCAATTTGAAATCTCTGCTGATAAAAGAGCTGTATAATTTCATTACGACGTATTCTTGTGGTAAAATAAACAACCACATCTCTAGGTAGGTTTCTTTGACGTGAGACCCAGGAATTCACTCTAAAAATTTTTTCTATTTCTCCACAAATCACCTCTGGGTTGCAATTCAATACCAGGGCCAAAGCTATAACAACTTCCTCTTTAAGTTTCTCTTGTGGGTCCTCTTTAAGACCCCTGATTCTCAGAGCAAATTCCAATTGTTTATATTGTAACATTACCATGTCATTTTGAAAGGTTTCCACTTCTTCCTTTACCTTTTCAAGTCTATTCTCCGTTCCTTCCATTTTCTCCACTAATTCATCCACTCGTCCCTCTACACGATCAATATGAGCTGCAAGTCCTTGAAAAATATGTGATAAATTTTCACAAAGTTCCTGATTTTTCTTATCCAAAAGTTCTTCTGTTTGTTTCAGAGTCTGCAATGAGGACTTGGCTAAG